TAGCTCTTTTGCCCATTTTTTAATTGGGTTGCTTGTTTTTTTCTTGTAAAGTTGTTTGAGTTCTTTATATATTCTGGATATTAGTCCTTTGTCGATGTGAATTTTGCAAATATTTTCTCCCACTCTGTTGGTTGTCTTTTAGCTCTGTTAATTGTTTCTTTTGCTGTGCAGAAGCTTTTTAGTTTGATCCTCTCACTTAAATTTTTAAAAAGGCATCTCTGGGGGCCGGCCTGTGACTCACTCGGGAGAGTGCAGTGCTGGTAGCGCTGAGGCCACGGGTTTGGATCCTAAATAGGGATGGCCGGTGCACTCACTGGCTGAGCGTGGGCGAACAACACCAAGCTGAGGGTTGCGATCCCCTTACCACTCAAAAAAAAAAAAAAGAAAGAAAGAAAGAAAAAGAAAAAAAAAGGCATCTCTGGGAATGTAGACAAGGGAATTATTTTCTAAAAATTTGGTGGGTTTTTAAAAGACACAGCTGACCCTTTTTGCTGGAGACAATTTTTCCCTTGCACCAGGTTAGTTCTAAAAGATGGGGAAGGGAAGCTATTTTCAGGGTACATTCTGGAGAATGAAGCCTAATAGTATTCTGCACAATCCTCTCAGACTTAAAATTCCCTTCTCCGGTCTAGCCATCTATCCCTAACAACTCTGGTCACGGCCAGATTGTAGGCTGAATTTTCAGAGATTTTTATCAGGGACTTTCTCTTCCTGAATGTAATTTATTGCTGCATCTGCTCCCAAATGTCAGTGTCTTAAAAAAAAAGACATGGAGTCTGAAACTTGTAGAGAATTTACAACCAAGAACCTTAGTAACAAACTTCCAATACCCTACCTATACCAGCAGAGTGTGGTGGTAAATGATATAATTAATCCCAGACGTGAATACACATTTATATGGTTCCCTTTCAGGCCAATACAGAGAAGCCTACCTTGAATAAGACAGAGCAGGCCGGGAGAAATGCTCTTCTCTCTGACATCAACAAAGGGAAGAAACTAAAGAAGACGGTCACCAATGACAGAAGTGCGCCAATATTGGACAGTAAGTGAAAAAAGCTATTTTTCATGGAGATAAATGGTTTATGGCCCAACAATCAACCCTTGCCCCTCTCTCTCTCTCTCTCTCTCTCTCTCACACACACACACACACACACACACACACACACACACACAAATTGGTTAACAACGGCTGTAAAACTAGCAAAATAAAGAACTGTATCACTCATTGTAGGCCGGGGCTTTGGCTTGGATTCCCCTCTAATGCTGCAGGAAGCAAGTATAATAATTCTTTGTGCAAGACATACACAACAGCAGTTGTCTGAATTATTCACAACAATGACTGGAGATTAACTCATGGCTCCTGGCATGACAGAGCAGGACACAGCATGAAATATGGAAAGAGCCATGGCCATGGAGTCAAAGGACATGGGTTCAAGTCCTGGCACATCCGTCACTTACCATCGCCAAGCCTCACTGCCTTCATTTGTAGGGTGGAGATGATAATACCTGTCCCACAGACCTCACAAGTGTGTTGTGAACTTCAAATGAGATAATGCCTGTAAAAGTACTTTGTTATCTGGAAAGGGTAATTCACATGTAAGATATGATTATTAGGAGCTGATAGAGAGAGAGAGAGAGGAAATGAGATCACAACTTTGTGTATCTACCCATCTAAGTCTAAAATATTGCTGTAGGTCAAATGTGTCCCCCAAAAGTTTATGTATTAGAAACTTGATCTCTATTGTAAAAGTTTTAAGGGGGTGAGAAATCTGATTATGGTATTTGGAAGGTGGGGCCTTTAAGAGGTGATTAGATTGTAAGGACTGTGCCCTCCTGAAGGGATTGATCCATTCATGGAGTAATGGGCGTGGCTCTGATGGCTTTATCAGGAGAGCTAGTGAGGATATTAGCTCTCTTCCTCAGCCCATTCTTACCATGTGACACCCTAGTCACCATGGGACCCAGTAGAGAGTTCTCACCCAGAAGAAGGCCCTTACCAGATACGTTCCCTGGACCACAGACTTCCCAGCTTCCAAAACTATAAGAAATAAATTTCATTTCTTTATAAATTGCCCAGTTCTAGGTTTTTGTTTTTTTTTTTCCTTTTTTTTTTGTCTTTTTTTCACCTGCATCACCATGAAAAACTCTCTTTACCTTTTATTACTATCAGCATTATGCTCTTTGAAATGTAGATATAATTACCTACCTCACAGTTTTTTTGTGAGAATTGAAAATAACATGTACAAAATTTCTGGCACATACTATACCTTCCTATCTGCCATTCCAGTATTAAAAAATCTGAGAGCCAAAGCTTTCTTTTCTTTTTTCTGTGTGTGTGTGTGTGTGTGTGTGTGTGTTTGTGTGTGTTTGAACATTTGGAACAAAACCCCCTGAAGTACAATTAGGTTATTCATACCCTTCATTTATTGTACATAGGAAGCTAACTACTTACATTTTTTTTTTCCTTTTTGTCTTTTTTCATGTCCGGCAACGGATCGCAACCCTCAGTGTCGCGCCCGTACCGGACCGGGACCGGCAACGGGATCGCAACCCTCAGTGCTGCACCCACACCTCGCTCAGCCAGTGAGCGGGAACCGGTCTGTATGTGGGATCCGAACTCTCGGCGGGAGCGCCGCCGCGCTCCCAAGCGGCACACTGTAGCAGTGCGCCACCGGGCCGGCCCTAGGTATTCTTTTATAAGCAACAAAAATAGACAAATACAGATACTTTCTGGAACAAGACAGGGTGTGAATAAACAAATAAGTACCCATAACACAAGGCTACTTATGAATATTTATAACAGAATGAAAAATTATCCATGACTTGCATCTACTGGCAATTAATAATCAGGTCTCAAGACTGTCTTCTCACATTCCTAGACCTTTCCACTGCCCACCAGATATCCCCAAGATTCACCCTGGACTACAGATCCCATTTGGATTTAATAGGAAATAGACTGACCTTCCAAAATCATCAGAGTGTGAACTTTGTAGACAAGTGAATAATGATGCAGGATTTTAGTGAAGTGAAGAGTTAGAAGCGCTTAGGGTAATTTCTGGGAGAAATGCCTAATGGGTAGAGAAAGAAGAAAAAGGATCACAGTTAGGTGAGAACACTGGCATGGGAGGAAAATAGAAAAGAGGAAGACCAAGATAAAGCCTTTGGACATTGCTGTGTTTCCAGGCAAGGTGGTGCAAATGAGAAGGCACTGTCCCTCAAAAAGGAACCGTGAGGTTTTTGACTCTTGATACAGTCCGACCACTTAGTCAAAATGCCCACAAAACTGATGTGGTTAGTGTATAATCCCTTAATCTTCCTGATCGGTGTCACAAGATCCTCCCTGGTAAGAGCCCAGCACAGTTACCTATATCTGGGGAGCCTCAGTCCAATAGCCATTTGAGTCGTGGTCCTTGATATAGGGGCAGAGGAGCTGCCAGCCCCTAGGACAGAGGCCAGTGGTTCTGTACTCTAGAGGAGGGAGCCTAGGGTTCTGGGGAAGAGGGCATGAATTCCCCACTGATATTGAAGGAGACTGGACAGTCTGAACCTATTCCTGAATCCACTAGAGGAAACTCATTTTATTCTTCAAGATTCACTTCTGCAACCATTAAATGGAAATAGTGTTAGACCTTCTCCCTGCCAGCTGCTCAGTGATGTTTAATAATGTACTTTGCTTGATGGAAACGGGATGCAATCCAGTGCATGCTCTGTTGCCCATGCACTTAATTGGACACCCATACTGCTGCCACAAGCTCTTTGCAGGTGGCAAAGTTCACCCATGGTTTTGTATTTGTTTGCATGTGAAACCCACCTCATCTCTGTGTCAAAATGTTGACCATAGTTATGCATGATAGCCCTTGCATATCAATTCAGCCCTGTCCTGCAGTTTAATTACTAATGAAATGACCTGGAGCCAGTTAGCTATCCTAAACTTTAGTGTCTCTATCTGAAAGATGGACAAATGTTCCAGGTTAAAAACACTAATGAATGATGTCTGATTGTGCAGCAATCTCTTTGAATATTCAGCATCATGTAAATGTGTCCCATGTAAGTACAGTATTCCAAAATGTATCATTCATTAATGAATAATGTTTGAATGACAAGGGCAGTGTTAATATTATTGGTAATAATTAAAATAATAAAAATTTTAAATTTTATGTGGGAGCAATTTTGCATATACTTCTGGAAATTGTTATTCTAATTTGACTTATCTTGTTAGATGAAGTAATTCTTGTCAGTTTATTATCAGATTCTTTTTTCTATCAACAGAGCCACCATAAGCATTCCAGAAAGCTCCACACCTAGAAAAGATACAGAGCTAACACAAACTTATTATAAATCTAATCCAGAGAAAAAGAAAATACAAATGAATAAAAAATAGAGCTCAGAAAGCAGATAAAATAAGAGATTCAACGTATATTTCCTAAAATTAGGGATAGTATTATGAAGTTACGTGCTAAAACATTTTAAGATCTTAAAAAAAAAAAAATGTATTTTCTAAGAAAAGCACAAATTTACCAAAATTCACTCAGGAAGCCTGAGCAGGGAAGAAGATGAAAATTTATCACATTGCTTTCTCTCCAAATAGCTTTGGAGCCAGATGATTTTATTAGTAAATTCTTTCAAATTTTAAGAAACAGCTCATGCGAATGCTGTGTAAATCATTCCCAAACCTATGAAGAGGTGGAAAGCTATCTGATAGTATATGGTATGATCTTAGTATCAAAACTTGACAAGGACAGCACACACTAAAAAGAAAGCTGTACATTAGTAGTTTCTTTTCTTTTCTTTTTTTTTTTTTTAAAGATGACCGGTAAGGGGATCTTAACCCTTGACTTGGTGTTGTCAGCACCACGCTCAGCCAGTGAGCCAACCGGCCATCCCTATATGGGATCCGAACCCGTAGCCTTGGTGTTATCAGCACCGCACTCTCCCGAGTAAGCCTCGCGGGGCGGCCCTGTACATTAGTAGTTTCGACTGAGGGTGATTTTTGCCTCCCAGGGGACATGTGGCAGTGCCTGAAGAAATTTTTAATTGCCACAACTTTGGGGGAGAGGAGGGGCTGCTACTGACATCCAGTGGATAAATGCCAGGGATGCTGTAAATACTCTATAAAGAACAGGACAGCCACCCACAACAAAGAATTATCCAACCCAAAATGTCAGTAGCTCCAAGATTAAAAAACCCTACCATGGACCACTTATGATCACAGATGAGAGAATACTAACTAAAATACCAAAAATCTAATTCAACAGTACATTAAAAGAATAATTCAACATAAGGCTGGCTGGTTAGCTCAGTCCGTTAGGGCTTGGTGCTGGCAACACCAAGGGCAAGGGTTTGGATCCCATATGGGCCAGCTGCCAAAAAAATAAAAAAAAAGAGTAATTCACCAAGACCAGTGTTTATCCCATTTTTAATGTTAAAAATTCTGTTTATCCATCACATCAAATAAGAAAAACCATATAATAATCTCAGTAGATCTTGAATAGGCATTTGATGAAATTCCATGCTATAACAAAGTATTAAAAACCTGAAATAGAAGAATCCTCCATGACTGTAAATATTTAGGAAGAAAAAAAACCTATTTCCAACCAATAGTCAGTATTTAATTTTGAATCATTAGAGGCATTCTCATTAAAATCAGAACGTGGTTGTCTTTAGCAACATTAATAATTTACATTCTTATGAAAGTTTAGCCATCAAAGTAATTACTTATAAAAAAACGGAAATAAGATACACACCTCTTAGAAAAGAGTAGGCAAAACCTTTATTAGTTGCAGACCATATGTCTCCTAGAAAATCCAAGATAATAAGTTTATTGTAAATTTTAATTTAGAAAATGTAGCAAAGTGGCTTATCAGATATCAAATGAAATTTTATGATGCTAATAATAATCAATTACAAAATATGATAGGAATAACATCTTTCACAATTTCAACAAACAAAAACATATTCAAAGTAACCCTTACAAGAAGCGTGTGTAACCTATGTCATGAAAGCTTTATCAAAAAATCCAGAAGACATAAGTAAATGCAAAAATATACCACATTTCCAAATGTGAAGTCTAGATATCATGAAAGTGTCAGTTCTCCCAGATTAATTTGTAGATCTCATGTTGTATTAGTCCATTTCTGTTGCTCATAATAGAATACCTGAAACTGGGTAATTTATAAAGTAATAGAATTTATTTCTTACGGTTTTGGAGGCTGGGAAGTCCATGGTTGAGGGCATGCATCTGGTGTGGGCCACCTTCTGTTCTGGGAACTCTCTGCAGAGTCTTGCAGAAACACAGGCAATCACACAGCAAGAATGACAAAAGCACTCTCATGTGCTCTCCTTGTAGAGCCACCGGTCCACACCCATGATAACCCACTAAACCATTAACCCATTACTCCAAGAATGTGTTAATCCATTTATGAGGGCATAGTCGTCATGATCCAGCCATCTCTTAAAAGCTCCACCTTTCAACAGTGCCATAGTCCGATTTCCCATCCTCTTAACACTGTTACAATGGGGATCAAACTTCAGTGAGTTTTGGGGGGACATTCAATCTACAGCACATGTAACACTTACCAAAGACTCAACACGGTTTTGGGGGAATAGGATTTTAAGCAGTGTTTAACCTCATAAATACAAACATGCATACATAAATTGAGAGATAATTTTTTTAAAAGGGTATAATCATGGCTCTTGTACAGATATAAAATGGACATGTGTCAACAATTTTATTTAAGTCACTAATTAATGAGGGAACCATATGATGTTTTCAGTTCGAAGGAGAATACAGAATACCACACAAATATAGGCGTATAAGTGCTGAAATGAATTTATAATTAGGTACAAAACGGGTCAGTAATTGCATTCCACTAAACACAACTAATTCGCATTTCTTTGGACAAATATCATTTGTATTAGCAGTTTTCTGGGACTTATAGAGTTATAAATTAGCTCAAAGATAATGGGAAGGAACCCAAAAGGCTAGACAGGATACTCAATAATCTCTTTCTTTCTTCTTTTTTTAAAATGTTTGTTTTTTGTTGTCCATTTCAAAATCTTTCACATTTTTTTGCAAATAAATGCAAAATAAGACAAAAACTTCAAACCTTCTCAAATTGCAAAGAAGTTTTAAATTGTTAAAGCCTACTGTTGGGCTTTATGATATTAAAAAATTTAAATCAATCTAAAATCCATCAAATAAGTGGGTGATTAAATAATTATAATACATTTATGTTCTAAAATACCATACAATACAATCCTTTAAACTCATATTTAGAGAATATTTAATGACATGTGAACTGCTAGCAATAAAGTATTAAGTGAAAAAAGCAAGCTAAAAACTGAATTTGTTGTTAATTTTAAGAAACATATATAAATTGAAAAAATACTGACAGGAAAAAATATAGCTTAACAGTGGATATTTCACAGGACTAAAATTTTAAGATATTTTATTTTCATTTCTGAATTCCTTTACTATCTCTCCTTTATTCTTTTTACTGTTTCCTTTCTTCTTACCTTTTATTGCATCCCGCCCTTCCTTGGGACCTTCTTTCCTTGAAGATCACTTTATTTGCCAAATTCTTTGGATATGGAACAGATAGATATTAGACCATACGGCAGCTAGTCAAGAGGGGGGTGTGGGAACAAATCACATCTATTACTGTTTCTTCCATCACTGGGCCTGGGACTGTCCTGGGGTGGAAAGAAACCCCTCTGGTTCTGACTGGGCATAGGGTGAACCCTTAAAATCCTGCACTGAATGAAGAAATCCCAGTTGTCCAGCAGAGACCCAGGTTCAGCCAGCTCCCTATTTTATTGTTGTTTTACTGTTTACTTGGGCTAGGACTGGTGGTGTACTCTGGTAGGTGTTTTCATACATGTGAAAAGATTGCATTTTCTTTATTCTGCAGAACCTAAAGGAGCCGGCGCTGGCGGTGGTGGTGGCTTTGGTGGAGGTGGAGGATTTGGCGGAGGAGGTGGCAGCAGTGGCAGTGGTGGTAGCGGCAGCAGTGGTGGTGGAAGTTTCGGAGGGGGTGGACCTCCTGGTTTGGGAGGACTATTCCAGGCTGGAATGCCGAAGCTGAGGTCCACAGCCAACAGGGATAATAACGGTAATGAGAGTTTCCTTCTGAGTAAGTGAAGACAAGCAAAGTTTGGTGGTTTGGAGGCTTGATGTACCTTCTAAGGCTCTGTACCCTTTAAAACATTTTACATTGTTTGAAGTGTTACCACTGTTTCATAAGACTCTATCTAGCTTTTTTTGATTAATTAGTATTAGACAGCTCCATAGAGCTGAGAAATATTTGCCCAGTGTTTTGGGGGTAACCTGTACTTTTTTTGTACTTTCCTAAATGGTGAATTAGAGTAAGAAGAAAAGGAAGGAGCAAGTGGAACTTGCCACCCCTGGAAACTATGCCCGATGACCTGGCAAATTCAGCTTTCTTTGTGAGGTAGCCTGACCCAGCTATCTGGTATAGTAAATACATGTGAGCCACTTTTCACACACACCATCAAGCATGTCCTATGGAATGTGATTACGAATCTCACTAAATCTGAAAAAGTATTTTGTAGGGTAGATATTTGGTATTTCAGTGCTGCAAGTTCTAAGTGGTCCTACAGGATTGTCTATGAACTTGGCGGTAGGGAAAACTTGAATTTGGTCATGCCTAAATAAAAAAGCTTCCAGAGTGCATAAGGCTCTCTCCTGACTACTATGGAAGCTCAAGAAATTTTACCATAAAACTTTTTTTGTAATGCCTATCATGTTTGAAGAATTTTATTTATAATTCTGCAGACTTTTATAATGTCCTCTGGGAAAGTGTGAAATTGTCACATTCATATGAAAATAAAGTCCCTGAATCCTCAGGGTTAGCTGGCTATCTTTGCACTAGATGGTCTAAATCTAGAAAAAGACTCAATAATATGAGATATTCTATGTTGCCAGACCTGTGTTTAAATTTAAATTTATTTATTTAAAACCTACCAAAAGAATTTGAGGCAGCTGATACATGCATACATTCGATACTTTAACAATAGGTGAAGAAATTAAGGCAAAAGACCAAATAAAATAATAAAATGAAGATGGAATTTCAGTTAGTGCATAAAATGTCGTACCAAAAGACTCCTGCATGTGGTATGGTGATAGTAACTGCAACTTTAATCCAAACTTAAAAGATATAACTCATCACAAGTTGGTAACATAAAAATATACCACATAGTCAAGGAAAATGTAGCTTTTTTTAAGTACTAAAGGCAAAATAAAAAATTCTCTCTTGAGTTCATGTTATTCTACTATATAAATCTGTCTAAATGCTTCTTATTGTGCCTTAGATAAAGTCTGAACCCCTTCTGCTGGCCTACAAGGCTCTTTGTGACCCAACTCTTATGGGCCACTCAGACTGAATTTCCTGTGGATCTCCCCTGTGCTCACTGTGCCCTAGGCACGTGAGCCTCTGATTTTTTAACTTGCAGCTCATTTCTACCTCAGGGCCTTTGCACCTGCTGGCCCTCTGCCAGAAGCACCTCTCTTCCTCATCTTTCTGTGGCTGGCTCCTCTTTATCAGGCCTCAGCTCACATGCCATATCCTCAGAACAGCTGTCCCCAGCCACCCCATCTGTCCTAGCCTCTCCAGGCCCTCTTGATCTCATCAGCCTATTTTAGTTTCTTTTTAGTACATATTACTACCTGAAAATATGTATTTATTGACTAGTTTATTGTTTATCTCACCCACAAGAATGTAAACTACAGGAAATCAAGATCTTTTCTATTTTGTTGACTCCTCTGTCTCTAGCATCTAGAATAATGGCTGGCACATAGCAGGAGCTCAATAAATATTTGGTACACTAATGAGCTCATGGTTAATGTTTTAAGGCTAATCATTTTTTTAAGAATTACCTTGGGTTCCAAGAGATTCTGGGGTGGTTTGAAAATTTCCAAATTTTTGGTTCCCCCTTAGCTTCTTCCTTTGTTGAACCAAAGCTGTTATAGGGTTGTTCTGTCTTGCCAATATTAAAGTAGAAGTTGACCCAGTAGGAAAAATTTGTGTAGTTGCCTACTTCTTTGCAGATAAATTCCATCCACTGGTGTCTACTCTTTCAATTAAACTTTGTCTGATAGTTTCTTTTTCCTTTCTTAGTTCTTTCTTATTGCAGTCATAACTCTTCCATTATATTTTTCCATCTTTCCTTGGGCATTTCTGTTCAAAGAGACCAGGTAAGCCCTTGCATATGGAGATTTATATTGGGAGAACAAATTTTTTCACCTAAGATGGCTGAATTATTTTTCAAACCTGAGAGGTACAAGGGCTGGGCACAGAGATGGTGATGGGGATGAACAAAAATCATTAGTGGAAATCCCATCTCCCAATGTCATCTTGTTCCTGTCCTCTCATAGCAATAGGAATCTCTCCAGAACTCTTACCAATTTCATCCTGGATCTTGTCCATACATTACATAATGCTGAGATATCTCTCCAAAATCCTTTGGAAAGCTGATGGGCCATAGAACCTGGTACTAGAAGGTAGACAGAGCTGTGATCTATTCCTCTGCCTCCAGGAAGGACCACACAAAACCCGATTTACATAAGTAACAGCTACCTATGTTTTATAGCACTCTGGGAAAGGCCTTCCTGTAGCTGGGCATGTACTCCAGCTCTCAGTTTCTTTAGGGTTCCTAATTTTCTAACAAGATGTTTGTTTTTCTGTTCTTCAGATTCTGGGGGAAGCCGACCACCAATTTTGCCACCAGGAGGAAGATCCACATCTACCAAACCTTTTTCACCCCCAAGTGGCCCAGGGAGGTTTCCTGTGCCTTCTCCAGGCTACAGAAGCGGTCCCCCAGAGCCTCAGAGGAACCGAATGCCTCCCCCAAGGCCCGATGTGGGCTCAAAGCCTGATAGCATTCCCCCTCCAGTACCTAACACGCCAAGACCCATTCAATCAAGTCTGCACAACCGGGGGTCCCCACCGGTGCCTGGGACCCCCAGGCAGCCCGGCCCCGGGCCTACTCCTCCCCCTTTCCCTGGAAACCGAGGTGCTGCTTTTGGAGGAGGTTCCATACGTCAGACACCCTCAAGCTCCTCCTCGCCCTTCTCCAACAGGCCTCCGCTGCCCCCCACCCCAAGCAGGGCCTTGGATGACAAACCCCCTCCACCGCCTCCTCCAGTGGGCAACAGGCCCTCCCTGCACAGGGAAGCAGCTCCACCTCCGCCCCCGCAGAACAACAAGCCTCCAGTGCCTTCCACCCCACGGCCCTCCTCCTCCTCACAGGCCCCACCTCCTCCACTGCCACCCAGCAGGCCTGGCCCTCCTCCCGTGCCTCCGGGTTCCAGTGGCAATGACGAAATCCCAAGGCTCCCACAGCGGAATTTGTCCCTCACTTCGTCTGCACCTCCCTTGCCTTCCCCAGGACGTTCGGGCCCTCTTCCTGCCCCACCCAGTGAGAGACCCCCTCCTCCGGTGAGGGACCCACCAGGCCGATCAGGTATGAAAAGACATGGGTGAATTGTTGCCGTAAAGCCCAGCCTTCCAAATGTCACTAATAATACTATAAATGGATATAGTCATAACCAAGCACAAGTAAACACTGAGACTGTTTATGCTTTTAGGTGACACTTAACCTGTACAATTTCATCATGACCTCACGTAAACCTCTAAGGAAAGCGGGACCACTGCTTGAGTTCATGTTTTAGATGAGGAGATTGAGTAACCAGTAAAGTTAAATGGTCACAAGCTAGTTAATGAAGAAGAGGCTGGAACTTTCATCTTCCGTCTCTGAAGTGTACTCACCCGCCACTCCACTACCCTGCCTCTCTAAAGTGAATTTCAGCTGTCATAATTGGGGGAATAAATTCCATCTCCTGCAGGATGGCCCCATTATTCCAATGAGAAGGGCAGCTATTTAAGTGCTAATGAACTTCTCTCTTCATTTGTCACGCTTTGAGGCCATGTACCTCCTAGTAGAAGACAAATGTTAAAAAGTCCATTTTGTTTGTTAACATCTCTGGTACATAGATACCTTGGAGAATCAAATAAAGTTATAGGCCTTTTCTTCTTAAAAATGCTCATAGGCATAAATTCAAAATTTGCATACCATTTCATGCATCTAAGGGCCTGCTGGAGCCCGTCTGTTCCCTCCCACCCACCCAGGGTTGAGAAATGTTGTTCTAAGGGAAGAACTTTCAGAGTAGGAAATGAAATGTGAGGATTCCCTAGGGTTTGCACTCTCTCCTAATTATAATAGCTGTTTTTAATAGAATGCATGCATTTAACTAGTTTTACAGTGGTTATTTTGGACGCAGTAGAACCATCTACTTTGTGAATTTAACCTCATCATACATACCTTGTCATGTCTGAAAATGGGGCATTTTTTTTTTAGAAGTTAGACCTTTGACCCTGTGACCTCAAAAACCTAATAAACATCATTCCTTAAAACAGTAGTCCTCAAACTTGATCACATACTAGAATCATCAGGGGAGCTTTAAGAACCACGGATGCCTGGGTCCCTTCCCAGTGTTTTTGGTATAACCAGTCAGTGTACAGACTGAGCATCAGGATATTGGGAGCTCCACAGTGATTGTAACGTGCTACAGAGTTTGGAAACCACTCCTTCAAACTGCTGTGCCAAGAAGTGACTACAAACAGAAAACAGTTAACTGTTCTATCAAATCCAATCCCTAGACATAGTGGCATCTCATTAAGTATTCTTCAGTGACAAATGAGAACAGGTAGTCACACGAACAGAATGCAGCGTTCTTCTTCTCATCCAACATCTATGGATTTTCCCCCAAAGTGGTTAAGGAGCTTTTTGCATAGCTCTACCAAATGGATGAATCAACAGATCAAATCTTCCCCAAAATATGATAGTCAGTGACATATAACATGTATTGTTTCTTTTGATTACATGTCATACCTGTTTATTGTAGAAATACAAAGAAGTATAAAGAAAAAAAATCATATGTATTCCTACCACCACCACCATCCAGAAATAATCATTGATAACTTTTCTTATATATCCTTTCAGTCTTTTTAAAATGTATATACAAAATCGGTATCACACTACATGTATGTATTGTTTTGTAATTTGCTTTTTATTTAACAATATTTCATTAATGTTTTCCGATATGATTAACTTTTCTATAACGTGACTTAATGGTTGTATAATATTAGATTCTATAAATACGCCTCGATTTATTTAACCAATTTCCTCACTTGGTTATATGGGCCATCTCTAGATTTTTGCTGTTGCAGGTAGTGCACTGGTACATCCTTGTAGCTAAATATTTGTGCACATCTCTGTGTATTTCCTTTGGATGAAGTGCTAGAAATTCCATCAGGGTGTGTGCATGGTATACTATGGATTTGATAGGTACTACCAAATTGCCTTCCAAAAAATTCCTACCAATTTACATTTCCACAGGAGCATATAAGGTCATTAAGAGCCACCTATATTTTGAGACATGGCTTAGTTTCATTGTCAGGGGAGTGAGCTTTAGAATTTGACAGATTTTGAGTCAAATCCTGGCTCTTCCACTTATTAACCTTCTGACTTGGTCTTTTTAACCTTCTAAAACCTCTGAGAACTTGTCTGCTGTCCCTATACCTCACAGGATTGTTTTAAGAATTAAATGAGACAAGTGTGTATAGTGGTTATCTTATTTCCTGGAATGTAGTTATATTCAATAAATGATCATTTTTATTATTATTATGCCAATGAGAAATAAAAATCTGGTTTGTTTTTTTTTTCTATTGTGACTACCTGGGTTTGGAGCAGGGAGCCACAAGTTTAGAGAGTTAGGACCATGAACGTTTACTTAAAAAGAAAGAGAGATGAAGTCAATTAAGTTATATAGTACCAGGTGCCATAATATGGGGAAATCTACTTTGCATTTAGTGACACTTATGTTGTAATATTCCAGTGAAGTTAACCCCAAAGCATGTGAAACACTTTTCTCCTAGTAAATCGATTCTTGCTGCTTGGGGCTCCAGCAGTGACAGGGAGATGGAACAATAAACAAACACCACTGAAGCCTCCCTGAAAGACCAGCCTGGGCCGGGCAGTGCCTCCCACCTACATTAAATGTTTGAGCCAAGACTTTCTGTCAGGGGTATCAGCAATGGGCACATGGTTCAATTTAAGGCATCTACTTGGATTCTGATTCTATAATTAAAGAGTTATTTATATTTACAGCACCATAAGACATTGTATTTACATGAAATGTCAGCATCTTGCAGGTGGAACACACTGCTGATGGTAAGGAATAAGTACTAAGGCCATTTTGATTTACATGAGAAAATGCCCAAGTTTTGGGTTTTGTTTTTTTTAGTTTACTTACTACCCAAATAACTTCTGCATTTAGAGGATGGGAAAAGCAAGATGGGGGTTTTGTGTGTTATCAAAACAAATAGTTTACTCTGTTTTTGTTTTTTGTTTTGAAACTTAATTGATTATATATATTTGTGGGGTACAGAGTTGACTGTCGTTACTTGTGTACAATATGTGATGCTCAAAACAGGATAATTAGCTTATTTCATCATTACAATACGTAATCATTCTTTATGTACGTTAGCCAATTGGAAGAAGAATTTACTTTTTTTTTTAACAAGCCTAAAATTTTCTGATTATACCATACCACTGCATTTTTAAAAATGGTATCAAATACTCATGTACTTTTTATTTGCTTTTTGACTAATTATTCCTGCTATTTCTCATAGCAGTAGTGCTATGAGAAAAGTGACTATCTGGCCCTTTTATAATAAAGACAGGAAATCAAGCTCCATTGGGTACCAGCTTGCTCAGGGTCTGTACCCACTCTAGCATTTACAGCCACAGGAGATTAGCTATTTGTCACCCCCTGTGTTCAAAAAAGAACCTGTCTCCCCAAAGAGAAAGAACCAAGAAGGAACTCCAACTGTCCTCGGGATTACTGGTATTTGGTTTCCTGATGCCACTTCTGCCTGGAAACACTGTATGCATCACAGAAACATGCTTGTGTAATTAGCAAAAATACTGTGCATTTAAGGAACTTAGTTTTTCTAAAGACCTAAAATAACTTCATAACTGTCTTATTCTTTTTTCTAAATTCTTTCCTTGTGTCACAGTTATTAGTTCAATAGTTCTTTAAAAGGATTATAAAATGTATTTTAAATTATATGGTTGTCAGTATAAACAAATTATCACGTATTTTCAATTTCACTGCATCATCTCCAATCTCAATCCTAACTCAAAGCCAAAACAGCCATTTAGGGGTGGCATTAGTGGTATAGTGGTGAGCATAGCTGCCTTCCAAAACAGCCATTTAGCAATCAATATCTGCTTATTCTACGTATACATGTGTACATATGTGCATTTTTGTGTTTATATGTGCCTATTCATTTCTCAGCTAAATCTCCTAAAAAGTCTCTACCATTTTTCCATATTCCCTAGTTAAAGGGCATATATCCAACAGGCACTCATTAACTGTGTATTGATGATGACCACAATAATAGTCATGTGGGTTGTAAGGTATTGCACTGAATATCTTTTTTTTTTTTTTTTGCCCCAGGCCCCCTCCCACCACCTCCTCCAATAAGCAGAAATGGCAGCACATCTCGGGCCCTGCCTGCTACCCCTCAGTTGCCGTCCAGGAGTGGAGTAGATAGTCCCAGGAGTGGGTCCAGGCCTCCTCTTCCTCCCGACAGGCCTGTTGCAGGAGGACCTCCCCCACCTCCACCATCAACGTCAATTAGGAATGGCTTCCAAGACACTCCATGTGAAGGTGTGTGGTGTTTGCTTGAGTTAACATTTCTCATCCCATCGTTGTTAGCACACTGCATTGCACTGAGCTAACTATCTAACCGTGTTAGGGCTCACTATGATTTCAAATTAAAAATACTAATCCCCCTCTCCCACTTCCCAAAAGGGCAGATCATTATTCTCTGTGCTGTTCCTTATTTGAGTCTCATTTTGGTTAACTTTTTAGACATTCCAGAATCCTGAAAAGAACCATTTTTGTAGCATACCTTCTTATTACCCACTTTCTAAACAGTCTGCTGTAGGTAAGAAGCCCAATAGCCTGCAGATAGTAAGCCGCTTGCCTCTGTCATTGTTATCAGAGTGGTCCCAGTGATTCCTGAGTCCACTGATGGGAAGAAGGATGTCCCATACCTTCGTCCCCACCTCCTGAGAGAGACTGGCTGGATCTTCATCACTATAGTTAAAATCACTTTACTTTTATTTGGAGAATTTTTTTTTTTTTTTAATATGACCAGTAAGGGGATCTTAACTCTTGACTTGGTGTTGTCAGCACCACGCTCTCCCAAGTGAGGTAACCGGCCATCCCTATATGGGATCCGAACCTGTGGCCTTGGTTGGTCCCAGTGATTCCTGAGTCCACGGATGGGAAGAAGGATGTCCCAAACCTTCGTCCCCACCTCCTGAGAGTGACTGGCTGGATCTTCATCACTATAGTTAAAATCACGTTACTTTTATTTGGAGAATTTTTTTTTTTTTTTAATATGACCAGTAAGGGGATCTTAACTCTTGACTTGGTGTTGTCAGCACCACGCTCTCCCAAGTGAGGTAACCGGCCATCCCTATATGGGATCCGAACCTGTGGCCTTGGTGTTATCGGCACCACACTCTCCCAAGTGAGCCACAGGCCAGCCCTGGGTCAGTATATTTTGCCCATGTGCTAGTTAGTGACATTTGTACTTCCAGCACTTTTGTAAACTTCTGAACACAAAACTAAAACTGATTTCTGCAGTTCTCTCTTGATAGAGTTTGGATGTGTTATCCCCACAAAATTCATGTAGAAATCTGATCCCCAATGTGGCAGTGTTGGGAGCTGTTTGAGTCATGGGTTGGATCCCTCATGAATGGATTAGTGCTCTCCCAGGGGGTTGTGGGTAGTGAGTGAGTTCTCGCTTTACTCCTGCAAGAGCAGGTTGTTTATAGGACCCTGGCACCTCCGTTTCCTCTCTCTTGCTTCCTCTTGCCATGTGATTTTGCACCAATGGCTGCCTGCCGCTTTCTGCCATGAGTAGAAGCGGCCTGAGGCCCGTGCCAGATGCAGCTGTCCCAGAATCATGAGCCAAATAAACCTCTTTTCTTTATAAATTACCCAGTTTCAGGTATTCTGTTACAGCAATGCAAAAACGGACTAATACATCTCTGTATTTCATTCTGTGCCTTTCATTACTTTAAGTCTTCATAGCAGATTATCTGTTACTGAAGATACTGTTTATTTCTCCCCCAGATGAGTGGGAAAGCAGATTCTACTTCCATCCGATTTCTGATTTGCCACCTCCAGAGCCATATGTACCAACGACCAAAAGTTATCCCAGTAAATTAGCAAGAAATGAAAGCCGGAGTGAGTATTTTCTAACAGGGCTTCTGGCAGATTCTTACTTGAATAGTCTTAGTTGAATAGTCTTGGTTTGTATAATAAATCCAGGCCTCTTGCTGGAGGAGGGTGGAGAAACCCATTTGGAGCCATCTAAATTCTGGTAAATTCCCCTTCCATGCACAGTGAGGAAATTGGAGATATCCAGAATGCATATGAGAAATGATTATTTTAATGTGTCGTTACAAGCTCAAAATACCTTTGGTTTGCTAGTATTAAATTGTACTATTTTGCTTCTTTGGACAATTTTGATCTTCCTGAGACAGCACAAGTAGAACTGTCTTCTGTTCCCACTAGTTTTGAGGTGGCAAAATGTCTTATTAATTATAATAAAAACTCACTGTGACCACCTTGATCTTTCAAATGTGTTATAATCATAGCTTTACAGAGCATTACATGAAAATTCTAAGTATATCCATAATCTCCACATAACAGGTTCTCTTCCGATTTTTATCTATATAATTAAGGTTTTGAAAAATACAGTTATAGCGATAGAGTACAGTTTTTTGGTGGTGGAGTTTATATAACATTGCTTAGTAAACACTTCCACATTTATCACATGGTTTTTATTTCACAGGAGTCCATCAAGTCGATGTACAATAATTTATCATTATTGGACATTTAGATTGTTTCTGTTTTTTTGCTAACACTGTGTATATAATGCCTTTTCCCTTATTGAAGAAGAAATGGGAACAAGAAGGGAAAATAGACAACTGGAATTTAACAGCAATAAATGTAGACGACTAAGATTAGCACAAAATATACATACCAAGGATACTTCAAAAAGTTCATAGAAAGATTCGTATTATCTTTTAATTCTATTTTTCCATGAACTTGTTGAGGTGCCACGATATATCACTGATGCAGCTCAGACTTGTAGCAGCCTTAGCCTCAATGAAACTCCCAAACCACAGATATGTGGAGAAAAAAGTGTTTGGTCAAGTGAAGTAACTGTCACAATGCCCCTAGCCATGTCCCTTACTCCCCAGCAGAGTGCCTGACACATACTCAGAGCCTACTGATTCTTAACACACAGTTCTTAAATAAATGTCTGGTTGGCTGGTTCCCAGCAGTAGAGCAGATTACTATCAGCTGAAGTTAAGGTTGCTTAGAAGTGAAGTCACTGACATCAGGGAGAAGTGATAGATGGCAGTCTCAGGTCAAAAGAGGACCTGGGACACAGAGTTGTGCTACGTATCACAGCACAGGACAATACCAGCGGTTTTGATTGGGTTAAATTGATGGAGTCAAATCCACTTTCTGCCTCTATAGAAGAATTCGAAGAGTTAGAAAATATTTTAGGAAAATTTTTATGAACAAATGCCAGAAGTAAACAGAATATTGCTGCTTGAAAGGAAAACTTAATTCCTGGAAAAATTCTTTTATGTGGAATTACACATTCCTAGATAATACCTATAAAAATATATAACGATAATAAAATTATACAGGAGTTGGTGGTTGAAATTTTTTATGAAAAATAAGTCTTCACATGGAACAAATATCTTTGAGTGGGGTGTGTGTGTGTTTTCAACAGAAGAGGGGCTTCTATTTGATAAAAGTACAGCCTATTTTTCTTCTCTTTTGGTCACTAATAAATGAATTCACTTTAAGGAGTTTTTCATATAGACTCTAAATATTTTTCCTGATTTCTTATAAGCATTCTTAATCTAATTAAATATGATTTGTATTTTTATCCTCCCTATATTCTCTAGACTTTTAATTTAATAGCTGAACACATTCTCTCCCTGATCATCCTTTCTTTGAGACTCAAGTAAGCAATCTGAGAACTAGAACCAAGTCCTGCTCACTATTGCATTGTCCTTAAGTGGCTCAGAGCCTGAAACATGGTGGGCATTTAAAAATATTTCTTAAATTGGTGAATTAATTTCCGCTGCCTCTCCCAAATTTCTTTGTATGTTTACTTTAAATATTTCCAGTATTAGGCATGTTTAATGTTTTATAATGATAATAGATAATCTAACAAAAATAAATAAGGCACTATCAAGTGCCAAGTTTTATTCTGCTTCTGTAGCTGCCTTGGCCTCCAAGCCCACACCCTCATAGGGCAACCCAGACAGCCCTCAGCAGTGTACAGGACATTTTGAGCCACCTAGTTACAGTTTTGGACAAGGCCAACCCTCATTTTGCTAACCACTTGTGGTGTGTCAGTTGATGGTCCAGGCTTCATGATAGATGGCTAGTTTACATCCAGATGAGTCTTTTTTCAGATGCCTGCCCAAGAAAAGGTTTGGTTGGGATGGTGAGAGGAAGAAGCAAAAAAAATAGACAGCCAGTGTTTTCCTCTGACTCCTCTCCTTGTTCAGAGATTTGGTTCTGTCTCAGAAATCCCTCAATAGACTACTAGGGTCACTATCAAGATGCCTGCTGAGGAATCTGAATGCATGAGTCTCAGAGCAGTGGCCAGAGCAGACCTACTCCATTGACATGTGCCCCTGGTAAACCTGTTCACAGCATCTGAACACCTGACTTCATGCCTAATACCAGTTACATCCTCAGAAAAATGTGTGTGGAATAGATTAATTTTCTAAAATGTGAATGGCTTTTAACTCTGGTTACAGTGCACTGACAGCCTACAAATATGCATAGCTTTAAAAAGAACACATCAACAGTAAAAAGGCAACTCATGGAATGGGAAAGAATATTGGGAAATCATATATCTGATAAGGGATTAATATTGAGGGTATATAAAGAATTCTTACAACTCAACAACAACAACAAAAACGAACAACCCAATTAAAAAATGGGTTGAGGGCCGGGCCCGTGGCGCACTCGGGAGAGTGCGGCGCTGGGAGCGCAGCAGCGCTCCCGCCGCGGGTTCAGATTCTATATAGGGATGGCCGGTGCGCTCACTGGCTGAGCGTGGTGCGGCCGGTCTCAAAAAAGGACAAAAAAATAAAAAAACGGGTTGAATATTCAAATAGACATTTCTCCGAGGAGGATGTGTAGATGGCCGTACCACATGAAAAGATGCTCAACAACACTAATCACTAGGAAAATGAAAATAAAATTACTGTGAGATACAACTTCATACTCACTAGGATGGCTACTGTCAAAAAAGCATCATTTAGAAATTAGAAGATACCTAAATGTCTGACAAAATGGGATTGATTAGATAAATAAACTATAGTGCACCCATGTAATGCAATATATCATTAATAATTATATTTGCAAAGGGTGATGACTTTGAAAGAAGTTCAAACTCACTATATGATTCTATTTCTGGGGGGAAAAAAGAGAACTGTTCCTAAGTGGAAAATACACACAAAATGTTATTGGTTATCTCTGGGTTGTGCAAGCAAGCGTGGGTGAATTTTTTGTTTTGTTTTTGTTCATTCATATTTTCTGAATGTATAATAGACACATACCATGTGATAAGAAGAAAAGCATTTTGTAACTTGGTGCAAGTCCTGAGTGGCCAGTGGTGGGCCGTCCTCTAGTGGTGTCCGCTCGGATCATCACTCACTCCTTCCTTCCACTTCTCACTTAGCCACATTTGCCAGTCAGCATACAGTCTTGGTCATAGGGGTGAGGTAGTAGGTACCTTTGCAACCATCCCCGAGTTTCCACAGTGAGAACGTAAGCTTTCTAACCAAAATTATATTTTGTCTGTTTTTTTCCATCGAGGTGGATCCAGCCGAAGAGAAAGGGGTGCCCCGCCTCTTCCTCCCATCCCGAGGTGATCTCTGCCTGCTCCCCTCTACCGGAGCTCAAGAGCTGCTTCTATTGTTGCTCCTCAAGAACTGCACACCCTCCTCCCCCTCTCTTCCCATGTCCCCTGCATATTGGGAGGAGGGAAGAAGGGAGGGTGAGGTGGAAGTCTGCGTGCATTGGGGTGGGAATCTGGTAAAGAAATGCACCTAGCTTTTTAGAGTGTGAGTATTCTGAAAGCTATTGCTTGCTTCAGCTGCAGCCTGCCAGTGTTGCTGCTGGGGGTCAATAGGATTTTGTGGGAAGTAAGCAGAAATGAATTGTATCCCAGCTTTCAACCAATCACATGCAAGCCTTTACTGCTTATTTGCTACAGGCTGTAATTATGAAAGTCCCTGAGGGCTGTGTTCTTCCATGCCTTTTCCGCCTGCTTGGCCTCCTCCTGTCTGTTTCCATGAACTACAGCCCACCTAAGCAAGTTGCTGAGCAAGGGCTCGCAGGAAATTTTGCGGTTACACGATGTCCAATCTTTGGCAGTCTGAGGTAGGCTCTGGGACAGAGCTGTCCAGTAGAAATACGTGAGCACATATACAAATTAAAAAATTTTTAGTAGCCACAGTTTTTTAAAAAGGTAAAAAGAAACGAGTGAAGTTTTAATATATATCTTATTTAACCCTGTACATCCAAAATATTATCATTTCAACCTGTAATCAGTATAAAAATTATTAATGATGTATTTTACATTCTTTTTGGTACTAAATCTTCAAAATCTAGTGTGTGTCTTACACTTTGAGCACAGCTCCATTTGGACTAGTCATATTTGAAGTTCTCAGTAGCCACATGTGGCTGGTGGCTACTATACTGGACAGCATGAGTCTGGAAGATGGAAGCTAGTGCAAAAACCTCTTGTTTAAAAAATAGGAAAAGGCAGCATGCGCTTTAGCTGTTCAAGAGGTAACTAAAAATAAAGTTAGGACTCAGCACCTTCTTTGGCCTTAGATTTTGCTCCCTTATTTTCCCTCTTCCCTTAATATCTATATGTAAGTGTTGCTTCACAGTATCAGGGTAGGAAATTGATCTAATACGGCTTCACAGTATCATGGTAGGAAATTGATCTAATACAGTTTACAGTCACCTGGAATAAAGCCATTGGAAAGAAACCGAAAGCCTGTTGGGGCTTCTGGGCCGAGAACCAGCTGGCTTGTGCACTCGCTGTCAGCTGGACTCCTGCCTGGAGGATTGAAGTGGACTTTGTTCCTCTTGCGCTCAGCAAACCCCTCAAGGCCGGGGAGAGAGACACTAGTGAGGCTAAGTAGGAAGAGAAGACAGTCAAACGTGGAAGAAGGGAGCAGATTTGAGCTGATGGACAAAACTCTAAAAATCGAAATCTGAAGCTGATGGAGTTCAGCAAATTAGGGAGATTGCTTGTGGAAACTGGAGGGAATTTGTTTTGAATCTGTCCAGGAGAATCGTTTGTTCTGGATCTACGCAAATAAAGCTCCACTAAAGGACCACAGGGAAGAGCCAGCCTTGCCTTTTTTTATATGATTTTGTTTACAGAATTTTTCTGGGACTTTTAAATCTAGCTATAGAGTTGGGAAAAAAATATTTCCTCTTAGATGTTTTTATATGGTTGATTATGTCTAAAATTACCATTACTTATTTTTTAAAAGCACACAACCACATTTGTTTATGTATATCTACCTAAATGATATATCATGGTTTCAGTGTATTATTCCTGTATTACTAGGAGATGCTACCAAGAAATCAATCCAAAGAAAAATTTGAAAAATGCATTTCTATTTATAGAATAATTGTTTCATCTATGTAAAAGCAAAAGAACCTAGAATTCTAATAAATGGGATGTCTAATAAATTATGAAGTTAGTACTTTGAGTATATTATATTTTTATAACTTTCCTTGCCAAAGTCCTGGGCTTAGTAAATTAGAGAACTTGTTTTTTCCCCTCTCCTCTACTGTTCCTCCGTCTTTCTTACAGTAACTTGCGGCTCTTTACCCAAAGAGAATCAAGAAATATAAAGGTGTAACAAGCTTGGCACCTTTATAAAATATAAAAGTATTTTTTAATTTTTTTATCTCTAACATTTTGGTAATTTAACAGCATCATTTTATTTTGGATTCTTTGCTCTGACGTCAACAGTGATAAACATCCCTATGATAGAAGCCTAATGACCCACTTTACAGAAGATGGAGTTTGGCCTTCCTAGCAAATACAGGCAAGAAAAGTCTGATCCAAAGAAAGTTGTGAGGGGTAGTAAGAATTGGACAATTTCCTTGTATATCTCAACTTTTCAGGTACTATTCTAAAGTTAGAAACAGGGTCACAACTCAAAGTTGCCATTCATCTAGAATAGAGATGTTTTAGGATATCTTTTTGAAGTGAATGTTTCATTAATACACCTGTACCCTTTAAAAGTTATCAACCTAATAGCATCCAAAACTTTGAATATGTTCTGTGCTAAAGTCTTCAACTATGGCAAATCACAAAAATGAGTAATTTCTTCCCTGAAATCAGTGCTTACATGTGTGTTTTTTCCATAACAAGATAAATGAATTCAAGATGCAATACAGTATTTTAACATTCTCATATCATTTTATATTGAAATGTATGACAGTATTAAAATTCAGTGTTCAGTATTTATTTCACTATGCATTTTATTTAGTAGAATCTGAGAAAAATGTTTAATCCAATGGTGCCTTTGTGATTTGAAAGAAATCAACTTTTTGTGTCTAAGTAGCAGATTATTTGCATATTTGTAAAAACTGTTAGGCCTTTGTATTTTAACTCATAATACCAATTTTGTTATTTTAGTAGCAGAAATGGGATGATTGTCAAAGTGCCCAAAAATTTTTGGCATAAAATTAATTTTTCCCTCTTCATAGTCAAGGACTATAGAGGGAGAAAAAAAAATCTTTTCATACTATTGCACTATGTAAACACACGTTTTGGGTATCTATGTCATCCCGATAGTTTAAATGGTAGGGTAGAGTCTACCCTAGACATCTGCATCTTTGTACGTTGGCCAGAGAATAAATAAAAGCAGAATGATACGGTGTCAACTGGTGGTTTTTCTTTAAGTATTGTTTGTGTAAATATAAGCAAAAAAGCAAGTGTATATTTTCTGCTTTTATACTGTGGTAAAGAAAAACAAACTTAGAAAAAGGAAGGTCCATAAAAGTAAGTAAATATTCATTTCACCTACTTGATAATCTCTTTTTGCTTGTTTTTCCTGAGACCCTGCATCTTAGTCAGTATCTGTTTACTTGAGTCAGATGCTTCTAGTTTGAGGTAAAGATGGCTCATGGGAACAATGGAAATGAAATTACAAAGACTAGCATGGACACTGATAAATATACAGGAAAGACCACTGGGAATTTAGGAAGCCTGATAATTTTTAAAATTATCTGCTTAGTGTATATGTGTATATATGTATCGCAATACGGCACGATGGTTACGAGCTTAGGAAGACCTGGCTCCATCTCTTACTTGCAAGTTACTTCTCTAAGCCTGTTTCCTTATCTATAAAGTGAGGAACTATCTTGTAGTATTAATATGTGCATTAAATGAGATAATGCACTCAGCACTTATTCTGACTTATTGTAAGCACTCAATAAGTGGTAGCCACAATTAGTATAAAGTAGGAAACAAATATTTATATAATGACCCCAAATTAACTGGAACCAAATTGACTTACAAGAGAATTTACTAGTGTGCTTTTAAAGGAAGGGAGCTCTAGCTCCTAGATAAAAAACTATCCACAAAGCACCGACAGGGATCATCTCGCATGCTATCAATCACTTATACCTCTCAGGCCTGGAAAATGAAATTTCATGTTCCTTCAGTCTTCACAGAAATATTATGAGGTTCAATTGGAAATCACAGAAATTAGGCAGAAAGAACTTTCTAGATAGGGCAGCCTTAGAATTTGTGGTGTGCAGTGGAATGCTTTTGAGAGTGGAAAGGGTGCTGGTAATAGTTGCTGTGGCACAACAGGAACCATTGGGGCTGCCCCGGCAAACTGGCCTATGTGGTCACCCCACTCAATGGTTTTTCAGTCCACCAGATGGGCAATTTAACATCCCAAATGACAAGACTGACAGCCGGCAGTATGACTTTACACTGTACCACAGTCCCGTCTTCGTGATTCTTCCTACCTCACCTGTCACTGTTTCTTTTTTGTGTCTCTCACATTTGCTGCAAAGAAAAGGCCAAATGAGAGGTTACATAGGGAATAAACCCTGCCCTGCAAACTCGGACTCGAATCCGGTTCTGCCGCTTGCTCCCTGTGAAGTCACAAGTTACTGAATCTCTCTGAGCTCTTGTTTCCTCAACTGCAAAATGGTTACAAAGTTTAAATAAATACATAAGCATCAGGCAAAATACCTGGCATGTGTTAGGCACTCAGTGAAAGTTAATTTCATTTTGTTTCCTAATCCTTTTGCTATCAAACCTAGGCCACATTCAAGAAGGAATTCTCAATGTAGTCAAAGAAGTCTGACAATTTAATTACAGAATCTTTAGGAATAAAAATTGCTTTCAGGGGCCGGCCCGGGCAACACCGAGGGTTGCGATCCCGTTGCCGGTCCCGGTCCGGTACGGGCGCGACACTGAGGGTTGCGATCCGTTGCCGGTCATGAAAAAAAAAAAATTGCTTTCAAAACTGGCCTCATCTGTTCAAGCTGGAATCATTCATTTGGCTCATTCATCCATTCAATAGATTTTTATTTTATCTTATTTTACTTACTGTGTGTGAGCTTCACCACAAAAAATATCAAACCAGTCTCCCTACCACAGCAGCAGGGGTTAGTGGTCTCTGAGTGGCAGTTAAGGAGGCAGCACCCGTTCCCACCAGGTGTGGGCACAACTGCAGTCACCCAAGCAACAGAGGGCTTTTGAATACTTTACAGGTTTTCTTCCCCCTTAAGGATCAAACCCCGGACCTTGGTGTTATCAGCCCCGTGCTGTAACCGACTCAGCTGACCAGCCAGCCCCCTTTTCTCCTTTAATCTCAATGAGTGAATTACTTTGATTTTTTTTAAAAATTTTTAAACCTACAGGAAAATTGGAAAAAAACAACAGTAGAAAGATCTTTGAGGACCGATAGGTATGTTTTTTTGGTTGTGATTAATTTAAAAAGTAAAGGATTCCCAGTTCCCTAAGCATTTCAATTAATTGAAGGCTTCCGGGACACATAACTGTCACCAGTCAATTCAGAGTGGCCCCTTCTCCCCTGTCTTCCTGCAGCCTCCCTACCCGCCACTCTGGACACTTGGCATTTAATGTCTATCTCTGGAGCTACATTTAGCCTATACCAGTTTCTCTTACTGGCAAATGTTTAGAAATGTCCCATCCATCAACATTATAGTACAAATTTCGTTGTCTTAAGATGTTGCTTCCATTATTATAGAGGTGCATTTACAGGAAGCTGATTAACCTCAAACTTTGGAACCTCCACTTACAAAGGGGAGTTCTTCTAATTAAGTACTCGTTTTTATATGAAATTTTTTGTGATTTTTATATTATTTTTCTTAAATTGTCTAAAGCCTGAGGCCTCACAAAACCTAGATCTGTCCTAGTGATATTGCCCTCCTCAGCTTCGGGTGCAGAACTGAACCAAAGTGAATGTCTTAAAATTTTTCTTAAGCCGCCAGCTTTCCTGAGTGACATGAGGGTTCCAGACGGATATAACGTGGCAGGTTGTTTACTTCCTTTGTACTACCAGAATGGCCTGTGTTTCTAAAACAATTTGCTCATTGCACTATCCACAATACATTAGAGTCAAAAGCCCCACAATGTGACCAATCTGGGAAAATATGTTTGACCTTTAAGGTGCCTGGAAAACAAGTCTGGATGTGATTTAGATGTCAAGCTCAAATTTATCTTAAGTTTTAACCAGGAAGATTCCTGCCAGAACACCTGAAATATCCATCATGGACTTAACATAAATATGTTTTAGTCATGAGGGACTCCCACTCTTTTCCTGTTTTCTGTCTTTCATAGTAAGTTAAAGGTCACCCATCAAAATGCTATCTTTCTCAGATAGGTCCCTGAAACAAATAGCAGCTGATAATTGTGAAAACCCAAACGGTTCAAGGAGCTATTGTATCCCCTGAGATTCATTTCTACATTTATTCATTCAAATAATCAACGAACACTGAGAATTTATTAAGCACTGGGAATATAAAGATGCTCATGTACAGCAGGAAGTTGTAAGTACTAGTCCTAAAACCAAGGGTGTGAGTTTAAATTCTAGATCCAACAAAAACTTCAGCCAGTAGGTGCAATGCCACGCTATCACAGGTCCTGAAATGCTCCTCACGACCGATACTGGGCTGTTTGGTGGGCTGTGTGCATGAAAGGAAAATTCCCCTTTTGCTTGCTCTTTAGGCATTTACTCTTGGAGCAAAGGCATGGTTAGGTCCCAAATGAGGCCACCCTGGAAAAAATGGAAAAACATCTAACAGTAATGAAAACAATAATTTTATATCATCAAGACACTACCTAATTTACTTACCTAAATAACAACACATATACTGTCTTTATTTTTCATAACCACCAGCAATTTTGTTCATCTACTACATATTACAATTTGAGCTAGGATCACTGCAAATATTATCATATGTACTCTTGCTAATCTTTGTGCCTTTGCACATAGTCTAAGAAGATTAAAAATTTGCCTCAAGGGCCGGCCCGTGGCTCACTCGGTAGAGTGCGGTGCTAATAACACCAAGGCCCCGGGTTCGGATCCCACATAGGGATGGCCGGTTCGCTCACTGGCTGAGCGTGGTGCTGACAACACCAAGTCAAGGGTTAAGATCCCCTTACCGGTCATCTTTTTTAAAAAAAAAAAAAAATTTGCCTCAAGAAACGTGCTCTGAGTGGATCCAGAATTCAAACATAAAACTGAGAAAATTCAAATGGGAAGTCACAATATCATTGTCAACTTTTCATTTGCCAGTTTGAAAAAATACTGACATTTCTTAAAAGCAAGGACATTTTAATAAGCCAAGACAAGGAAAGACTTAATCTTAGGATAAAGGATAATAGGCTCAGTTGAATGAATACAGCTTCATAGAAAACTCGCTACATTGTCCTTAATTTCCTCACTGGGCTAAGGACTGACTCTAGTCTTGAACCAGCATTTACCACCTGGGGCACATTGTGTCTTGGATGTTATCTTTTTTCAGTTCTTTGGTTCTTTACAGTTTAGGGTGTGGTTATAATCCCTGTCTTTAAATTTTAAAAGGAGCATTACATACCTGTACTTCTTGGCTAATCTTATTAGATACTTGCTACCTTTTAAGGTAATTTCAGAGGAACTGCTAAAATTCAGATGTCTTTTTTTTTTTTTTTGGTGGCTGGCCAGCACAGGGATTCCACTCCCGACCTTGGTGTTATCAGCACCACACTCTAACCAACTGAGCTAACTGGTCAGAGCCCCGCCCTCCCCGCCCAGATATTTTGTCAAACAGTTACAGATTTCTGAAAATCCCCATGTCAAAGTCAAACTCCAGTTTGAATAATTTGCTCTCCTGTGTATCTCCCTTCTTTTGTACTATTCGTTATTTGTGGGGTATTTCTACCACTCATATCATGAATTTGTAGTATTGAATTTATTTTTTACTCTTCTTGCAACTGGAAAAGCTGTGTGGCTCTTTTAAATACCAAGTTCAGTTATGTGTTGTTTAATGACAGGGATAGTTTCTGAGAAATTCGTCATTAGGTGATTTCATTGTTTGTGTGAACATCATACGGTGTACTTACACAAACCTAGATGGTATAGCCTACTACACACCTAGGCCATATGGTATAGCCATTATAATTTTAAGAGGCCACTGTCGTATATGTGGTTCTTTGTTGAACAAAACATTATGAGGCGGGTGCATGGTTATTTCACTTAGCACTATGTCCTCAAGTTTCACCTAATAGATAATTTTTTAAGGAAAGCATTTTAGATACAAATAGCATTATAATGAATCAGCACACATGAGGCAGTAAATAAGTATGACAAAAACTGAACGCTATCTTGGCAATTTAATCTTCATATTCTTTCATCTAT